GCTGTCCCGCTTATGAAAGGCTCCACATGTTCAAGCATAAAATATTTTAAAATTATCTCAATCTGTCACTGTAGAAATCATTATGAAGGGCATATGTTACAGGGCCTGTTTCCTTTGTCCGAGTTCGGAGACCCCGGTCACACATATAAACCATACGGCTCTGATTTCGGAGTCCCCGGCTGGTAGTGGTTAATGTAAGACTGCATGCATCTGAGGGGATGAAAATACAGAGTCAAAAAGGGAGCATCCACGAGAATTTAAGACTCATAATAATGTAACCCTGTTCCTAAAGAGGTCTTGGGTTAAAATTTCAGTTTTTTTTTTGATGACTCTGTTTTCCTTTTGCATATTTAAATTGTTCTTTCCTGAGCTTTTGACTTCTCTACTGGTAAGCAGTGTTCCTGTGGTGAACCTTTGATCTATTGCCTGTTCCTTTTGTCAAATAGCCTGCTCTTTCATCAGTTTATCTTTAATGTTCCTGCTTTCCTAGGAGATCACAGGATGCTCCTTGTATCCACTCCCAGTAAACTTTTCAGGAGATCAGCAGGATGTTGGGACACTTAATCCCTTGTTGTTGTTCATACCTTACTCCAAGCTGTGAAAGCCATAAACTTCTGCTGAGTGCTCATCTGCCTGGATACTAAATGACCAATCAGTATTGGAGTCACGTGTGACATTTTTTAAGTTGTCCAATGAGAGCCTGAGTTAGTCCCGTGGCAAGGGCATGTTCTGGGTGGCAGTTTGCCCCAGAGTTTCGGCAAGCCTGGCATTCCCAAACTTTGCCATCATGCTGACTACATGCCTGCCGAATTTTGTCTGTGCTCTGCAATATTTTCCTTTGGACTGGAGGACCTCCAAATCCAAGTCTTCCACTTGTTCACAAGTGTTGGCTCTCTATCTTAGTTACTGAACTGCTTGTTCTGAAAGAGGGTCTAGAGGAGAGTCTCTGTAGTCCACCTGAAGAGCTGTCCCCAGGCATCTCAGCCACCAAGCTACATATATGAGACTTGCAGACACAGTACAAGTACACCAAGGCATCTGTGGCATTAATCACCAGTATCAACCTTGCAAGATCCGCAAGTATTCCTTTGTGTTACATTTCTTCTGCTGAACCTTTGCTCTTCACTTTTGCCAAATGGCTACACAACATAACAGACTCCTGTTTTCCCACCTTGGAACGACTCGTTGCAACTCATCTCTACATCTAGAGCTTTAGCGCCATTTTTTTTCTTGAGCTCAAAGTGTGTTCTATCTTAACAGAATCCTGCATTTTCTGTAAATCTCCTATTTTAATTTATGGCCATCTGAATTTGCGTTCTCTGGATTCACTTCATATTTCTCTTATTGATTGGCTTGTTTATTCCCTCCAATAAAGCAAAATCTCTTTCGTACGTGAATCCTGAATTGTGTGAGGTCAAGAGTTTTTTCAAAAAAGAATTAGATTAATAAGAAATTTGGTTCCTGCTATTTTGAAACCATGGGTTACAATAACACTGCCTGACAGGAGCAAAATGTTAATATTTTCCATTTGGGAAAGAACTGCAGCAGACTTAAAAATCACTTGATTATTCCAATTAATTCTCGGCTCAAAAATGCAGGTATTGAATAGAAACCGGATAGAGCCTTACTAAGTGCACCTCTTCCTTTCGATCACGCGGGGCGCAGTCGGAAGAGGTAACCGAGGTACACTTGTGACAAAATTTAGGGCCCACAGTAGGCCCACTTTTGTCGGACCTCGCAACAGTCACGATAAATACCTAATGGAAACCCAACAAACCCAGGGTTGCCTGATGACCCTATACATACTAAGAAATCAGGGATTGTGGAACGAATTGCTGCACTACCTAGCAAAACCCCTGACAATTCTGGGTCGCCCTGTTTACCCTATGTATATAACGTGACGTAAGGAGCATAGAGAAACATAGAAATAGAGGGGCATAGTAGAATGGAGACATCTACATGAATACACACACACGTGAGAGAGAGAAAAATACCAACAAAACATGTAAATATACACTCACAATAAAAAATAAGACACAATATCTAAAGAGTATTTATTAGAATACATTATGGTTGATCAAATTCACACAGGAACGTGGTATCAAAATGGAAAACTAAAAAATCCATGATCCAAGATGCCAAAATTGACATGTCCACTATGAATCACACTTTAGAAAAAGATGGCCTTGAAGTTGAGGGCACACTACGGCTGATCAAGTTATGGTGAATAGAATCAGACGCAAAGGAAATTTGCATATATAGTGACTGTTTGGGTAGGTTAAGTGCAGTTGACTTCAAGTATTCAGGAAAAAGTAACACACATAAATCTTACCAATGTATTACGCTAAATTAAAAAAAATCAGGGCACTGCAAGGAGTCACATTCATGTGTGACAATAAAATCTGCCAATAATGGCAACTACATATATCTCGTTAACAACAGCAATGAAACTTGCTATCCTTCAGCTGCCTGATTCAGTGGTAAAATGTCCCTCCCAAGTAACACACTCTTCCTAGGGACACAAAATGTTGAAAGGAAAGAAGTTTGAAGGTGTTGTTGAAGAATGCATCAAAATGCTGTTACCATGACTGGCCTGATATTAGTTCTTTAAGAATTCTGAGTGTCTCTGATCTACCCGTTATGAATGTACAGCACTGACAGTGACAGTTTCTTGCTTTTCTCAACTTGACATAAGATCCTGGGCATGTTCAGCAGTTTTGTATATACATTAATGTGATAGTTAAAGCTCCACATGTCACCAAGTTAGGTTTGTCGTTGCACCATGTATGAACTACCTCTTTTCAGTGACTGTCGGTTCTCAACAGAACCGCTAACTCAAAGTTTTGGGTAATGTACTTTGTATGTCATCAGGAGAATGCTGGATTCTGACTGGAAGCGAGGCTTATGAAGAATCCCAGGAGGAGATTACTGCAAAATGAACTCTGATGGAGTGGATGCCATTAGACTTGCAGGTTTGTTGTCTTGGGTTCTGGATCCTGGCTGTGCAGTGTTGCTGTGGATGTGTACTTGTGTGTCAGTATAACAAGGGATTGCCAGCGGTATAGATGACCTGTAGGTATGGTGAACTATACTAGGGGGAGGGGACCTAGGGGCTAGGGTGTCCTTGGGGTGTAGATGACCCACTGGATGGTCTACTGAGGATGGGTGCCAGAAGTCACTGATGGAAAGTCCTGTAACTTTGGGGGCTGTCTTGTGTCGAAAATTCTGATGGCCTCTCATATACAACATGGGAACCAATGTTCTGGTGGGGGGGGGCTTGTTTCTGTTTCCATTCATAAGCCTCACTTCCAATCAGAATGCAGCATTCTCCTCATGATGGGCAGAGCGCACTGCCCGAGATGTCGAGTAACCCGTTCTATTTAGAACAAACACTCACACAAAGAGACAGTTCATTTGTGGTGCAACTGAAAATTAACTTGTCGCTTCATCATGCAAACCTTTCAAATGTATTTCCACATGACACATCATCTTTGTGTAAAAATGTCAATTGTCGTATTTATCTTTCAGAAGATGGGAATGTTTCTACACATATTAACACCAAACAACATTAAAGTACAGACCAAAAGCACAAAAAAATATTATGAGTACTTTCTGGTGTGTGTTTCACTATATAAAGGATGGTTGCGCATACTTCAGGTTAACAACAAATCTCTTTTTTATTACTACACAGAGCCCACAATATTTTAATTCAAAATATCATAAATTATAAATATTTACCTAGACCCCATTCCAGGGGGTGAGTTGATTGAGTCAGAGCTTGGTGGGCCACCACCTGCTCCACCCATGTTCCTCTCCTCAACTTTTTCTTCTTCACGTCTCTTAAGGCACGCTGCTTTGGGGTTCAAATTACGCTCTGTTTGGAGGGGGAGAAGAAGAGGTCAAACCTAGCAATTGTCCACCCAATATTCTTCATGATTAACACCTTTCAACGTAAGTTTGTGATCTAAACATCTGCAAATCAATCTTAGCTTGACCAACATTTCAGCCAGTTAACAATGTAGTTTGAGCTTGACCATTTTTCTGTCACTTGAAATCTCAAAGACAACTGTAAACTGAGTATGACTCTGGTAAAGCTGGATCATAGACCATTACAATGCATAAAGCCCTACAGTATTGTGTTGAAAGGTCATCCTGGTGACCATGGCTTTTGTATTGATGTAGGCCTTTATCATGGTACAATAAGAGTTCGGAATAGATCAAACAATTTGATCAAATTCATTAACCTGTAGCAAGTGACCAGCTATGCATGTGGTCATGTGCTGAACCTCTTACAGAACAGCATCACAGCTATTAATTATATATAACGGTTTGCCCGTACCCAACATATATTAATAAGCACTGTATGCTCAGTGCTTGACC